TATAATTTAGTTTATATTATATTCACTTAATTACTGAGACAATGATATAGCGAGAAATACACGCATCATATCATTACTAAGTAAGATAGCATGTAGCATTTTCCTGCGTGTAAACAAAAGTGTTTTAGCCTGTGAAAATTTGTTAGTAGCCCATAAGTAATTTCCCAGGTCTGACAACTTAGTTTTTTTTTTTTTCTTTTTCAACGGTATATTTTTAATTCTAATAACTATCCTTTACTAGACGAGTGTATAAAACCAGCGAACACTTGTAGTTGGACATGGGTTTGCGTATGGCATCGGACTGGCCACGTGGAGTTTTCTGGGTTTTCTTCACGTTAGTAACACCTAAATGGGGTCCAGCTTCCTATAGGTCATCCTGGAATGCATTCCCTTCGGCAGATCGTTCACGTGCCGCATTGCCGAAATGAAATAGACCAAACTAATTTTAGCAAGCGATTACTTATTGTTATCATTGTCACAATGCCAGTAGCAACTTTTTGTCAGAATATTCTGAATTGTTTTAGTGGCATCTTGCCTCTGTATATCGTACTTTTCTTGTTAGCAATAGAATCCTGTAGGTCATCTATCTAACTCCGTTCGGGGGAAAACTTTGTATCGAAGTAACGTGACTTCCGTTCCAACCTAAAGTTCGTATATAGTTAATCTAGGCCTTTTCTTCCTAAGCTTCTCACATCCGGTCTGGACCTTTATCTTTCCATCCTCTTTCCCAGATTCAGAAAGGAGAGACAGACAGACACATAGAGGACGACAGTCGGAATTTATAGGTGTACAATTTTTTCAAAATGCAGCCAATAATTTTTCTATAAACGTGATATTTATAAGAACATACATCTCACGTATTTATACAAACTGTTGCCGAAATTTAAATACTTTATTATCACATTAGATCAATTATTCTAGCATGTTTACAAGATTTTTTTTATCTAAACAACGTTAAGGTTAGCAACTTTCATTACATGCGGGACAGTTCGCAATTTATCCAACACGGATCAGTTTTCAAATATTAATAGTAGATCAGTATTAAGTAGTAGTCGTTGACCGTCCTTTCTTCCAGAAGAAGACAACTACTACTTTTGGTCGAATTACTTTGATCCCCTTTTGCAACAGCTCGGTCTATCTATCGGATGAGCAGTTCGGTGGCATTCAAATAGAAAAATTACACAATGCGAAGTTACCAATCTGCACAAAATATGTTTCAAATGGTTTTCGAGAGTGCCGAGTTTAAATATTTGGTCCGCTTTTCGCGAAATTTGAGTCGTTCGTAGATTAGAGTTTCGTGTTAGGCTGTGAATGGTACAGTTCCTTAAGTTTTAACAATAGGAAAAAATACGATAGCTGAAAAAATTAAAGATATACAGTATTTACAATTGGTGTACTTGACCATCTGCTAGTAGTTAAGAATTTCCGTAAAAACCGAAGAAATATAAGTCGAAATTCAGCTTCACTGCATACTTCCTACTGATTGATTAGTGAAAGAAATTGGTATTTGATCTTAGGTTCAAATACGAATTTTTTTCAAATCTCTGTGCTTGAAGTCGTTAGGTTTTTGTATGACAATAAGGAAAAATGAAAAGGTGTTAAGCAGTTTTTTATTTATTATTTTATTATAAATAAATCCGACGAATTAAACATACAGGGCGAACCAAGATTAGATGGTGAACCAAATTAGACGATGAATGCGTGTAATTACTGTATAAACTGGAAAATTATGCACATATATTATTAAGTTAATTGAAAAGCCATTCTTAGTGTCCTTACGCGCAATGGCTGAAAAATAGATTAATAAATGGAATGTTTCTGACTTTCAGGACTTCCAGCATGTTTAATGTAGCTATGATAATCTTTATTTAAGATGAGTAGACGACTTTTGTTACTCACCAATCAGACGAGTGTGCTCAGCATTATACAATTCACTCACTAACCCACACCCCTCCAACGGTGAGATGGTGATTTTGAAAAAATTATATTTTTGTTTTTTCAAATCTGTTTTTCAAAAAACACTATATTTTCTTCGTTTCTATTTTGTTTGCTATGATAAGAGAACAAGTTCAATCTATTCTTAAATAACATTCACACTCACCTCTTCCACCATCTAACTATAATTTATTCTATAGTGTTTTGAAAATTTCTTATGATTAAATTTTAAAATGTTTGTGAATATTCAAATAAAATGCTTTTTGTTAAAATATACTTTTAAATAATTCACGTAAACAATTTTAATAAAATTATACTTAAAAATGAAGCACTTTAATTGAGGTGCTAATACTTGATTTAGTAAACTAAAATTAAAAGTAGGCAGAGAAAAGATTAATTACACGTACTTAGTGTGTGTGTGTGTGTGTGTGTTTATTAATTACTCGTTTAGATAAATATAAGATTGTTTCGGGTAATATATCTTAATGTGAACCAAGCTTAAAGATTTTCTGTATTTTACATGCAATTACTTTTAGGTGCTTGCTGTCAAAAAGTAACGATAAGTTAAACTTCCTCTTTACATCTCAAGTATGAAGAACTTCATAAGGTGTGTTTTTATATTTTTGTACTGTAACAATTGTGAAAAAAATTTAATTTCTACAGTAGAGCCTCGATTATCCGACTCAATTGGGGACTGGAATTGGTCGGATAATTGAAAAGTCGGATAACCGAAAAGTATGAAAAAATCCATTATTAGTTTAGTATATTATTATATCCCATGTAATTAGTATATTAGTATATCGCTATTAACCTACTTACAAAAATATTTTAAAATAATAATCGTGGCTATTGTATCGTTAAAAATTAGAAAATTAAGCCTCGTTTAAATACTGGCTCCCTTTCATGGTCGAATGAGTGTTGCCAGCTAAAACACGTAAAAATAATATTAAAGTAGCCAAGACATAGCCAAATATTGTAGCGCCACATCACTAGCGGACATTTGAGATTTGCCGACTAGGACGGTCGGTTAAACGAGGTGTCGGATAATCGAGGCTCTACTGTATTTATAACGCTAACGTAAATTGAAGGTCTTACAAGTTAGTGGAAGGAGATAACTAGAAAAATGATATTGCAAAATTTGAGTTCAAAGATTTTATAAACATTACGCCTGTGTTGCAAACCCTCTCTTTTTTTATCACCAAACTGCAGAATAGATGATAGTAACTCTTAAAACGTTTACCATTGTATAGACAGACATTTATCTCTATCTTCTACATCATTAACTCAAATTTCACCAGAATGTCAGTTACCTTCTTCTTCTTTCAATTGTTAAGAAAGTTATAATGTGATTACAATGTATGTTTTACTATTGAATTTCTAACGTATTAATTCTGATTCCTAACATTTTTTTCAATGCTTACAAATCATAGATTTGGAATATTGCTTCTTCTAAATACTGACTATTTATTGTGTGTTTCTGAAAGAAATGAGTATAAGTCAGGTACGTTTAAAAATATTAATTAACGTAGTAATGAGTAAAATATAATTATTGATTGAAATCAATTTTCTATAATTTTAGTAAATGTACGAAGGATGATTGGAGGATCTGTCGCAGAAAGGGGATCTTTTCTTTTTATGGTGAGTCTATAATTATATAAAGTTCTGTTCAGCCTGCTATACTTATAAAGAAAACTACTTTAATTTAGGTAGCAATATTCTGTAAGGATATCTTTCAAGGTGCTTTTTCTTTAATCACCACACACACATTAATAGGAGCAGCGCACGTTGTAGAAAGGTTTGTTTATTTTAATTATTATTAGAATTTTTCGCAGGAATGCTATGTGTACATAACAGCCGGGTTATGTACACATAGCATGGGTATGTGTACAAATGAAAGAATTATCGGAATGAAACGTGACTTGTTAGCACGGGGGGTTGACTTGCGGCTAATTACAGAACGATTCCGTATCCATAGTTCTGTTTTTTACCACGAGATGTCGTTTCTTGGTGACTTCAAGAAGCTAGTACACAAGCGTAATTGTAATTTTCGGTCGGTTGTGACATCACTGAATCACGTGACGGATCGCAGTCTGTGTAAATACAAAGTGAAACAGAAGGCACAGAGTTAAGTGGGCGAGTGGTCTCCGTTGCCGCTCATCGAAGTGGTGACCAGACCCTAAAAACTGGGAGGTTCGTCGTGGGTTCGCGCCACGGTCGGATAGGCTGGCTGCTTGGAGTTTTCCGGGTTTTCTCCTTGCCTATAACGACTGAATAGGAGGCCAGTTCCCCATAAAAGTCCTCCCGGAAGGCATTCATTTCCCGCGCGTACGTATGGCTGTTCGATACAGCCGGCTAATCGGTCGCATAGCGATCATATACACACACAAGTCTACTCGGAGAAAGAGCCTACATTGAGCTAAAATCTCCATATAAACACCATCGAAGAAGAAGCACAGAGTTAATTTATTACAAACAAAATTTGCTACTGTTCGTTTCTTTAATGGCATACTTGTCTTTTGTCTAATATTCAATGCTTATACTGTAGTTTTAAAAGATAACCATTGTTCATTTTTTAACAAAATATTTAAAATGATACAGTATATTATAAAAGTTATTCTACAGAATATGTAAACTTTTCTAAGTAATTTTTTTTTTTTTTTTTTTCAAGATTTTCCTGCTGAATTTTTAATCCCTTTTCGAAAATTTTGTTTTCTTTTGTATTATTTAATAAAATTATTCATTGCTTTTTAGAAGCAATTTAAACGTTTTATATTAGAAAATTTGCAATGTTTTATTTTATAATTAATGTTTATCTTTGAAATGTTCAGCAAAACCAAACTCAATTTTCCCCATAGACATCCTTATTTGATTTTCACGAGATTTTTAAAAAACCTAACCCTGGCGAATACCAAGTGTATCTTGTGTAATTCAAGGCTTGTCTATGTTTGTTAACCAGTAAAATTCTTTTAATTTTATATATATAGACTATATATGATATAGAAAAGTAAAGAAATATGTATATGTCTCACCATAGAATATAGTCTTTTCCTCCACTAGGACTTGCTTATGTACTAATCTTACATGCTTGTTAGTAAGATTTCCTTTTGAGAAGTGCTTATCGCAATAACAAGTATTTTTTGATATATTATCCAATGCAATATTCTCCATAACAATTTCTTAACAACTTAGCAGGAATACCAATTATCGATGATAAAGTATGGTTTTAAAGCTAAAATATCAACAAAAGAAAATTCCAATCACACCGTACAGTACGAGGTATACGCTACCTAAACGTCACGACACTGGCGGCATTTCGTGGTAAATACTAGAACTACAGCTACTGAATCGTTCTGTAATTAGCCGCCAGTGTATTCAGTCGTTTTTCAGTGATAAAATTAATTCGAAGTTTTACCGACAGGTAAAATTTACATACAAATTTCACAAAGAGTCCGCGTATAATCGACAATGGAAATGGAAATTCTCAATTTTTTCGGTCAGATCCTTTCACAGTCATGGAGTTGAAAATGCTACTCGCTGTGAGGAAACATCCATTCACCCTGACAAGCTGCAGTGGTTTTAATCTTTGACTAATTTCGAATCCGTGTCTTCTTTTAATTTTTTTTACTTCACAACTGGGTGTATAGGTAGACAGACAATGGGCATTTTTAACATCACTCTTTCTTTATGAATAATCGGTGCCCAATGTCTACCTATGTACCCAGTTGTGCAGAAAGAAAGTTCTAAATTTAATTTCAGTGTAATTTAACTTCTTCCGCCCATAAATTAATTAATAAACGAAATCAACTGACATATATGACCCAAGTTGAGAAATAGAAATATATCGTGCATTTTGTTTTTAGATAAAAAGTCTTCGAGTATGCACAAATTAGAAATTCATTATTTTGGATAATGATATTTCTACTTTCGAAATAGCACATAGCATTTATTCTGTTGTTTTTTTTCAGACGATTATTTATTTAAAATTTTATTTTTTGATTCAGCTATGTAATTAATGATTATTATGGAAGAATTGATGACGTGAACAAATATAAAGGGAAGAAAATCATGTTTGGAAAAAGATGTATACACCCAGATCACGTTCCGGGTGACAATCTCCATGATATTGCGCTTCTGATTCTTCAAGATCCTATCGAAGATATATTTACAATTGCTTTACCTGGAAGAAACGTAATGTTTACTAAAGGTTTGGCCGTGTTTGCCGGTTGGGGAAAAACTAGTTTGGGTAAGTCTTTCAATACTCTGTATTGTTTAAAATATATTACGGCAATAAAAATACAATACATATCCTTTGCTTCAATTTAGATACAGGAGAATACGATAATAATTTTCTTCGAGTAGCGGAAGTGAACTTAATAGATCCAAAAAGCGTTGATCGTTCGTTTCACATAAGTGTAACTGGTGAACAAATTATAACAGAAACATTTGGAGTAAAAGCAACGAAAGTAAAACAGTTACCATTTTTTACATTTACTTTATAACTAATGTTATCCTGTTAATTTTAAGAGTTTATTTTTTGTTTACAGGGTGATTCTGGCTCACCACTGATAATCATAGATGATTCAAGAAGACGAATTCTCATTGGCATTTTGACTAATCCAAACAATGATATTAATAAACCAGATATTTACATATCAACCAGTGCTCATTATAATTTTATAAACGCTAGTAGCGTTGGAAGACCCACATTCGTTGACGTATAAAATTAGTATATTGCAGAGAATTTTTTAATTAAGAAGTTATAAGGATCAAATCGAAATTGTAATTTCAACGATCTTGTATTTCGGCAATATCCGTTGCGGCGGCCGAATAATTGTAAACTAGCGCTGCATCTGAAAATCCAGCTATAAAAACATGTGTAGGCCGTCCGCCATATTTTTCCCCCTCTCTCGGCTACCCTACGCACGACGAGTGGATGTTCTGTACCGACCGCATGCTTGTAACCGATTGAGCTTTACTCAATAAGTGTAAAACAAAATCTTATACATAATTGTAAATAAATTTTCATGGTGAGATATAAAGCTTAGGTTGTTTTATATAATCAACAAACACTCAAGTGGTGCATCGATCACTACATCCGTGAATAATAATCAATTTATATATTCCAGTTTTTATTAATTTAAAAGATGTTTGGAATGGATAATTTTGTTTTTATATTTACTGTTTAAAATATAATTGTGCTTTTGCCAGTTTTTTGCAGCTGTCCAATAATCTAAAACACAGAATCACTAAACACTAGTAGTTGATGATGGTTTTTACAATGAATGACCAGTTTTTATCCAACTATTTGTGATTTCTCATGGTGAGTCAATAGTGTTTGATAAGTCTCACGTAGAGTCAAAATTTAGCGCTAACGTATTCAATTCTATTAATCAAAAGACATAAAAATAGGCTTACTAGACGTCCCGCTTTTATCGGGATTGTCCTGGTTTGATGATGTGGTTTCTGCGTCTCGGTCAGTTTATCATTTTATTTGGTTATTTGATAAAATTTTAAAAGTGTCGAACATCAAAAAGTAAAAATAGTGCATCCTCGGGTAAAAATGGCAATTTAGCAACCGAAACACCCCCTGTTACATTTACTGTTGCCAATCTGTATTATTTTGTATGTAGATCTAAGTACAGTACTTTTAATGTTGTTTAGATGTTTTTCCTAGAATTTATATCATGTGGCCTAATGAATTTAAATGTTTTATTTTTCTTTCCTGATATTTTTTCACAGAATTTATACTAACATGTAGCTTATGATATCCAAATATATGTTTTAGATATTTTGTTTCAGAGTTGCCAACACTGAAAGCACACTAGCCATGTCATTATTGCTCATGCCATATCTTAGTCGAGTTTAAATTGCTAGTTGGCATTTGCTATTATTTTGTACTGTACATTAAATTAGTTTAATCTTCAAAATGCGGAAAAGAAACTGTGTGTTTACTGGTGAATTAAAGAAAGGATTATCCGTTTTCGAAAGAAGCTTGTGATCGTATTGACAACGTGAAATGTAAACTGTACTTTTCAAAATTTTCAGTAATTTATGGTGGGTGTTTCGACATTAAAAATCACTCGAAATCTGTGAAACATAAAGCAAGCCTAGTAGCAGCGAAAGAAACTTCCTGAAATATATTGTTATGTTTTTAATTAAGGTACCAATTAAAGTGACAAAGAATTCTTCAAGAAAGTGATAAATACTGTATTAAAACAGGATTTGTGGTGGCTCTACGTTTGTCTGGAAGTAATCATTCTACATGTATTAAGATGGCAAAGTTATTTTTAGCTAGATGTACAGTACTGTACCATACATTGTATGGCTGGTTACCCATTCTCTTCTTAAATTTTCATCACGTGGAAACAAATATAACTGGAACGGTTAACGGCTAGAAGTATCTTGATGGCTGCCAAGATATAAATTTCTATTAATCCTAATAGACAATGTTGTGCGTTTTTTGTTATGGGCTACTATTTTTATAAAATGGCAAAAGTTTTAGTTTTTAGGGAAAGGATGAGTTAAAAAAAAAGAAGAAAAAGGCATATGCTAATATCGAGTATACTCGTGATTATGTCCGAAACTATTGGAAATACAGTAGAGCGTCGATTTTCCGAATCAATTGGGGACTGGGGTTGTTCGTATAACTGATATTTCGGATAACCGATTTATGTACGAAAAAATAGTTTAACGTATCCGATGTCGAAATTTTTCTCCGTTGCGTGTCGCTTCGCGTTTAATTTTCGTCGATGTTAAGCCTAACAAAGACTATTGTATCGTTAAAAATTATTTTTTTATTTTGTACAAACAAAATAAATATACTTCAGATGTTAATTTAGTATCAAAAACGTAAAATATTTGAGTAACCCAAGACATAACCAAAGATTGAAGCGCCACAGCACTGCCGAAAATTTAAATTTGCCGTCTGGAATTCTTTCGGATGATTGACGTTTCGGATGATTGACTTTCGGAAAATCGACGCTCTACTGTATATTCTTTTACCGTTTCATTTTATTACCACCAAAATTTAATAGCAACGAGCCATTATTTATTATGACATCGTCAGAATTCCGGGCAATTTTTAATCATGTTTTTTAATTCATTTCATTTATGCTCTCCACTTTAAATTTATAGTGTCTTGCTCCCAAAGGCGAATTTACATAGGGACTAATAGGGCTTAAGCCCTGGTACCGAAAAACCTAGATCCGCCCTTGCTTGCCCCTAAGTTCGCTGTCTCCTAAGTGTAAACGTGTTATAATTTTGGAGCTTATTTTTAATCAATTGCCATATTTTTCCTCTATTATATTTAACAGAGCCGGGAAAGTACACATCAAAACGGATAAGCAACACGATCCTGGGTGTTCAAAGTTGTAAACTGTTTTTTAACTGCTCTGCCATCCCCACCATCGTAGAATGAATTGAAAATATCTGAAGTTTTAGTCGGAAACGTATCACAAGTCATATTACAGAAATAACCAATATGTGGCACAAATGACACATATGGATATTATTGAATATTATAACACTAAACTTAATTAAATTTCTTCTGAAAAGTTACACATTTTAAATCGTATCACTTTTTTTTAGAATAAATGCCATGAATTTCCTGTGATAAGAGAAAAAGAAATTGCGATTTTACATATTGAAAGTGTGAAAGCAATGCTACTTATACGAGTAAAACAAGATTGTGACTTGCAATACGATAAGTTTTATGAAAAATTTCGTGTTATCAGAACTTATTAAACGAAATAAGTTTACTGAAAATCTTGATTTGATCCTAGGAAACCTTCTACATGAAGCTATTACATTTAATATAAATTCTCGAAAATAAGAGGTTTTTAAAGAAATTTATGGTCTTTTTTATGCTACCAAATCAAAAGACACTAGTAATTTGCCACGAAATTGCTAATAACGTTCATCTATATTTTTAAATGAAATTTTAATGACAGAGGACTTGTATTTATCAGCTGCGGTTTCCCGTATTGTTTTGGCATGTGGTCAGTATAAATGTAGGCCAATGTATTCCCACCGCGCCGATGTTGCTCCAAGATAGCGGCTCATCATTATTTTCCAATAATATCCATTAATGCCCCTATGTAAAAGTGTTTCGTTTGCATTATTATTATTAATTACTTAGCTCGAAGAAAGAGAACTATATGAAAAAGTAGTTATTTAACTTTATTTAACTCTTTTCGCCCTGAGGGTCTCTTTTAGCAATCCCATTACGGGTTCGACCAGGCCCACAATGGAGCAGCCGGGTGGCGAGGGAAGAGGCCCGACATATCCGGATGGACCAACCCGAAAAATTCCTGGAGATTTATCAACCCGTCCGGATTCGAACCCGGATCCCCAGAGCGGTAGGTTGCCATCTTGATCTCTCAAGCCGGATAAGCCGAGCGGTCTTTTGTTTTTTTTTTTCTAACTCTTTCCGCCCCCTGGGCATTAAAAGGGCTAGCAATCATTATTTATTGATTACTAATCGACATTTTTCATTTACAAATTGATTACCGTAAGAGGGAAAATTTGATTACCCCCTGGTGGAATATTCCAACATAAATTCTTTCGACAGTAATATTAAATTTATGACGAACATATTAAATATCGTAGTAAGACAGTAATGAATTCAGCCTTCCAGAAAGTCATTTTTCATTTTTAAAATTATTAAACTAAGAATTAAGATATTTTGAATATTTTGGAATTAAATTCTCTGTAAACTGATTAACAAAATGAATTCTACTTTTCTTGTTATAAATTTTAAGGATATTTCTATTTAGAAATCCTCTAGTGATTGTATTACATAAGTTATCTAGAAAATTCAAAACGTTAAGTTCTTTCTAACAATATAATTCTTCGAATATTTTGAAAACTTGCCAATTCATTAACTCCAANTGTTAGCCCGTGTTGTAACTTAAATATATTGGAAAATTGAGAAGAAAGCAAGAATATCGCTTCATTTTGTAACTGTTGATAGGCCTAATTTCTGGTATGAGTTACCTTTAGTTAATTGGTATATATGCTTATATATACATAAATTACCTAAAAGTAACCTACCCTAATATCCCTAATGTGATAAGTTAACTGTTTAAAAGTCTGAACTGTATGATATTTAGTATATATTTATGTCTTCAAGGTTTAAGATAAACATAAATATATGCCAAATAAGGGTAAAATTGCAGTTCTGAATGAGAAGTTTGGATTCCCTCCCCAAATTTTGGACCCCACACGTCTTGGATATTCTGGATTGGCTTATTTAGGGGCTGTATCTCGTGAAGGATAATGGCTGGATTCAGCAGAGTTGACAGTTGTAACTGAGCAAAGGTGTTTCAATTGGTTGCTGTTACGTTTGCTGAACGATGAGTGACGTATGCATTGGAACAAAAAAGCAGTCGCCGTTGGTCAGTTTTGGCTAGCGATAGGTAGCGTAAATGAAAGATGCTACTAAATGTGGTGTCAAAATACCAAACATGTTCTTAAACACTGCTACTGTAGAGGGCCATCTTCTCATTGGCTACATTCAGCACACTTAATGGTTCCAGAGCTATTGAGTATTTTTCTGCTGAACGGTGCGAAAAATACTCAATAGCTCTGGAACTGTTGAGTCTGCTGAATGCAGCCAATGAGAAGACTGTTGATTGCTTTGACTTTTTTACTTCTTTGAGAATGGTCTACATCTCTGATAATATCGGAACTGCTTCATTCGGTGATGCATTTGGGTAAGATGTGAACTCTGAATAAGGGATTTTCCACCCCTCAGAATTGTAGACTGCTTATACCAGCAAAAACATCGAACAAACCGTACAAATGCGTGCAGACTTTTGTGAGATACCCACCCTCAAAGCTTACTTTTTATTGTGTACTGGTAATGCTGCCTATTTTTCATGCTCTGTGGGCACAAACCCCGCACCTCGTAAAACTAAATAGCATTGCATACTCTGTGAATGCTACTCTGTGCATACTAGGATATTCAAAGCTGGCATAGTCTGGTAGGCTAAATACTTAAATGTGATAGTCATACCCCTGTATGACTCTAACTCTTGTATAACCCCTGTATAACTCTAACTCTTAAGTCATGTTGTCACCAACATGACTTAAGAGTTAGAGTTAAATCTTGAGTTGACCAATCATTGTTTGCTTTACTTTTAGTATGTGAATGCTCATTGGTTAACTTTTAACTCTAACTTTAACTTGTGTTGGTTAATACTGTGTTAGTGGAGCAACATGACTCTCGACTGACTATGACCGGAAGTGACCCAATTTTGGGGAACAGTATCTTGCCAAGGGTTGCTTGTAGAGGTATGGTTTTTTTTAGCTTTTCTGCTCTTCGGAGTATGGTCTACGGCTCTGGTAAGGTCCCAACTGCCTCGTTTGGAGGTGTAACTATATCTGCATTTGTACCCTAAATAAGAGTTTGTTATATCTTTAATCAAGATTCTTTTTTATACATTGATATTCATTGCACAAAGTGGCATTTTGGTACTAAAATATGCTTTTGTTGCTTGGTAATGCTAATTAAGATTATCAATATGTTATAAACTTCAAAAAATTTAATAAATTCATACTTTTGTAATAGATTACAGGATTTATTAATGAATAATAAAGAAATTTTTTTCTGTTGTGAAGCCATACAGCTTTATAGTTGTAGATTAATAACAGGATATATTGCTTTTATGTAATAAAATGTTTTATTTCAAACTTAAATTTAGTTATTCTAAAAAGATTTATTTTCTTAAGTGAACAATTTTAATTAATTTAAAAGCTGCTCTTTTAAAAATTGAAAACAATAATTTGTTTGGAACGTCTAATTAAAAACAACTAAGTAGATTAATTTATAGAAAATGTTTACTAATCTTTTTAAAATTATTTACCTGTTTACAATTTCTCATATTGTACACAGAATTTTTAAAAAATGGATTCCTGTGGGTACAGTACTGTACCTGATGATCAGCACTAGTATATACAGTACCTATAAGTAGTGCTTTTTTTTTTCTAAAAAAATTACTGCAAGTATACATGGTGACAGAACATGTAATAGATGAAAGAGTGTAAAAGGAAGAGCTGGTGGATGGTATCAGTTCACCAAAGCAGAAAAATATGAACATGAAAAAGAATTGTTTTTAAAAAAACAATGTGATAAAACTGTATTGTAAATAAAGACCAGAAAAAATAAAATAAATATTCAAACTATAAACTAATAACCAATTTAAAAAAATAAAAGATTAGATCTAGTTTTAAGAAGAATTAAATGGAAACACTGATGACCAAATCCACACTATTTGCTATTTGCTGAATGCCAAGTAATGTGGATAGACAACNGACCAGAAAAAATAAAATAAATATTCAAACTATAAACTAATAACCAATTTAAAAAAATAAAAGATTAGATCTAGTTTTAAGAAGAATTAAATGGAAACACTGATGACCAAATCCACACTATTTGCTATTTGCTGAATGCCAAGTAATGTGGATAGACAACATGAATGCTTGGAGGTGAATATTTGTCTCGTTTGATTTGGCACAATTTAGTGAGAAGAATTGGGAAAAAGTGAAAACCAAAAATTTGTCACAATTAAACCATGTGCATTTCTATGTATTCACCAAATGTTTACTCAGCATTTGGTAAATGTGTGGATGTGTGTTCTAAGCATTTTGTCCAGCCACAATGAAGGAATCATATGTAAGCAAATTTATTAGGGGAAATTGCATTTTTATTCTCTTCCCACTGCTTTGTCAGAGCAGTGAAAAGGGTTGATTGATTGTGGTTTTTTGACATGAGCCATATTGGTTAATCTGTGCCATCATGGACAGATTAGCCTATATGGCTCTTGTGTCTAACAATGAGAAGGGAACACAGTTATTTTGTGGAAACACACACATTCATCACTTCTGTTGCCAATTTCAAATTGTTATTCTGTTGTCAATTCTTTACCATTTTTGCATTTTGCAAAACTTTTACTTAACGGCAAGAACACTGAATACAATATTTTAGAATAAGTATTATATCAAGATTGAACTTTTTCATCTATATAATGGAAGAACTATGATGAGCCAAAATAAATGCATTCTTTATTCATTCTGTCCTTACTTTCCTTAATCACTCGTGCAGCTTCTCATTTTAAATCTTTTTAATAACTTACTCTCTCCGTCTGTCTGTTTATCCGGATAAAAAGTTGCAGTTCATCTACTTCCCAATTTCCAATCTAGTTGAAACTTTGCACATATGTGTATTGCCAATGACAGTACATTTTTTAATAGTTTGCAAACATTTTTAACAATTAGCAATATCTGTTAACAGATGGCCCTGCAACATGTTACTGTTATTTGCTATCCTATATGTGGGAACAAAAGTGAAGACAAAGAATCACGTGATCCTCCTGTTACAACGATTCAGGCTACTCTAAAATGTTTTTTTTTTTTTTATTTCACTATTCTCATTCTCACTCACATTGCTAGAACTGTAATATATTAGTCAGTGTGGTTGCGATTTTCTTTGGTAGGATCGAAAAGACTGTATAGAGAAATCATTTAAATTGTTGAAAATTTTAATTGATAACTTTATGCCAAGAATAGTAGTAAATCAAGATGTTGAAATTTGAGGATTATAGAAAAATTTTTAAATTTCATTCAGATTGTATAGAGCAGCCTTGGCCAATTTATTGTGGGATGTAAATGACTTTCATGAGTCAAAAGTACCAATGATCTAACAACATATTTTTATTATTTTATAAGTTTATTAACCCACTTTTATGAAATTATATTTTTAATTTACAATTTGTAACAGTTGTAAATATTTATTAACCTTACATATAAGAAATACCTGTACTTGAAATTATTCAGTCTGTTGAGATTTCTATTCTATAGAAACATAATATGTTACAAGATTGTATATTATGCCATAGGTGTGTGCGACAAAGCTGTCAAAAACTGTATATACTGTAAGCACAAAAAGAGGCAAATTTACATACGCTGAATTTATTAGAAAAACCTCATCCACCTTGGTTTGTTTTGATGATGCTTTTTTTGACAAAATTTTGGCACTACACTTGGATCAGAGTCAGAATGTTCACTAGATGGCTTCTCCCATATCAGTGCACTGACTCTCTTGGTAGAATTCTTCCATTGTACTATACATCCAGATGTAGCAATTGCATCATCAAACTCTACAAATTCCCAGTAACACCTAAATATTAACTAAACATTGAAAAAACATTAATTTTACAATAGATGGAGCTAGAAAAAAAAATTCATTATTTTGAGTTATGGATCTGCTAAAAGGAAGTAAAATTACATTGATTTGGTAGGACCTGGGGAAAAAATCTGGTATTCTGGTAAATCCATTAAAACAAGATTGTTCTGTATTTAGTTATTCTAAATCATAACAGAAAATTGTATTTTCATTTATTGTACAAATCATAAGTTTTACTTCTTTTTTGGCACACTCATTTTCCATGTAACTGAAACTATTTAGAGCATGGTTGCACAGACTTATGAAGACTAGGGGCCACTCGGGCAAATCATGAACTGATGGCGGGCCGGCCACCAGAAGTATAGGTAATTAAAGACAATAAAGAATTGATAATAATTTATTAAAATTCAAAAAGAATTTATTAATTTGAAGCATGGCACTGCATAGTGCTTACAATCTTTTTTATATTTGGCTCAAATTTACTTGTAGCAACACGTAAAACTGCTTCCAAACTTTCATTTGCAAGGCGGTTTCGATTTTTTGTTTTATTATTATTTAGTATTGAAAAAGTTTGTTCACATATATAGGTAGAACCAAATAAGCTGGCACATTTCAGAGCGTTTATGCGCAACTTTTCGTACATATTTTTATCAATGCAGCGGTAAAAGTTCAGCAAGTCTCCTTCGTTGAATTTGTTGCGTAAATCTTGATCGTTTTGAATGTCGATAATTTCTAACTGCATTGACTCTGGTGCATTTTCAACTGAAATCGTGAAAGGATTGCTGAATATGTCCAACAGAGGTTTCACTTTTTTAAAATCCGAAAATCTGTCTTGAAAAGATTGAATCAAAATATCTAGCTTTTCTACATAACTGAAATTAATCGCAGTTTTGTTGAATTTTTCAGCCATTTTCTTATAATTCGGAAAATGATTGTAATTTCCAGAATTCAATTGTGATTTGAAAAGTGCCAGCTTGCATTGAAAGGATGATACATGAGCGTAGAGCTGGGATATCAGTTGATTTTTGCCTTGAAGCCGTGTGTTCAAGACATTCAAATGATTTGTAATGTCAACTAAAAAAGCCAAATCACACAACCAATCAGGATTTTTAAGTTCCGGGACATCCCTTTGCTTTTCCGCCAGAAATATTCCAATTTCTTCTATTAAATTTAGAAATCGTTCCAGTGTCAATCCACGGCTTAGCCACCTTACTTCTGTATAATACAGTAAATCTCCGTATTCGCTTTCGATGTCATCAAGGAATTGTTTGAATTGTCTGTGATTGAGTCCTCGTGATTTTATGAAATTTACAGTCGAAACTACCACTTTCATGACATTTTGAAATTCAATTTTTTTAGAACAGAGGGTTTCTTGGTGTATAATGCAGTGAAACTGCATGAGATCTTCAGCGTTTATGTTTTTTCCTTGCAGATGCTTTTTCAGCAAAGTAACTAGCCCGGAATTGACACCAATCATCGAAGGAGCACCGTCAGTCGCAACTCCCGATAATTTTGATAAGTCCAAATCAGTTTTTGAACACTCATCCAAAAGTACATTGAGTATATCAACTCCTTTGGTTTGACCTTTCAATGAACACATTCCGAATAACTCTTCTAAGACTTCAAAATCTTGAGTAACACCTCGTATGAATATGAGAAGTTGAGCTGTGGAACTAATATCAGTGGATTCGTCGAGTGCTAATGAAAAAAATTCAATGATCTTAGTTTTTTCAATTAATTGTTCCGCAATATTACCTGACAAAGACATAATTCGTCTTTGGATAGTCATACGATTCAGTTGAATTTTCTCAAACTTTTTTGCTGCTTCTGGACACATTTTCTTAGCGGCAATTTCTATGCATTCTTTTACAAAATCGCCATCATTGAAGGGGCGACTTCGCTTTGCTATCATTCGAGAAATTTCATAACTAACTTCTGTAGCTGTTTCTGAATCTTGAATGGGTTTTGTAAACATAGCTTGCTGACCAATAATCTCCCGTTTTAAAGACAACATTTTTTGCTTTCTTAATTCGCCTGTAAACTTGGTAAAAGAAGGATGCTGCGTTTCATAATGCCTTTTTACATTATATTCCTTTGCAATCGCAACAGAATTCTTGCAAATTAAACAAACGACTTTGTTATGCAACCATACAAAAAAGTATTTCTCAGTCCAAATTTCTTGAAACTGCCGATTTTCATCTTTAACCTTACGTTTTTTACTAGGTCCTGGCTTCTCCATGTTGCGTTCTAATCCTGGCTAGGATTAACACAGCACCTAAAAACAATTACAGTACCTACTTAAATTACCCATTCTTTTTTAAATTATCAAAAATAATTGATTAAATTCCTCAGAAATTTTAAGATTTTTATACAGATTTTATATCTGAAATAATGACGTAATTATTACAGTTAGAGAAATTCTGATAAAAATAGTAATTTCTTTGTTTTATTTTAATATTTGGCCAACATTAAAGCTAAATTTGATTAAAATTGATTAAATAGGTAGGGAACACTTATTAATAACAGAGTTTTACTTACGATTTCACAACACAATTATACACGGCACTTGACGGGTTAACAGGAAATCTACGTTGAATGTGGATGAAAATATATGACACCGGCTAGTCGAGTTAAAATCTACACTAGAACTATTGCCTCCCCAAAACACTATTAAACTGCACTTATTCTCCTACGCTTCGTGTATCTACTCGTACCTACGCGAGCAATCGGGAATTCGGGACTATTGCTATCTCGCTTGCTCACACCGCGCTAGAAAATTCTATATAAAGTTTTTAGATTTTTTTGGTTTTATTCTGGAATAGAATTAAATATTCTTCGAATGTACGAGAGTATTATTTTTGCTGTCGGCGGGCCACCAGTATTCGACCGGCGGGCCGCATGCGGCCCGCGGGCCGCGGTCTGTGCATCCATGATTTAGAGCCAAGAAGCATAACCTATATATGACCATGAACACAAAGAATATTTTCCATTTCTGTATGTTTCTCCTTCAGTATTGGAATGTGCTCTTTTCACTGTGTCTCAGTCAGAAACAAACACATTCATTTGTAGTTGTTTCTCATAAAGTGTCAGACAGCAGTTTTAACAACCTGTAGCAATTGTTAAAAGATTTCATGGTGAAATATGGAAATTACAAAATGTTTGTTTGTATTCTAACAGGCTATTATCTGTGATTGATTAAATATGATGTCTCAATTGCAGTTGACTGGCAAGCACAATCAACTTGTTGGCTATGCTTGGCATACAGAATTAAGATGCAAAACTGATGACACTTTTCTAAATTAATATATATATATATTCAAATAAAAGAGTAACTTAAGTGATTTGAACTCGGTTCAAACATCATTGTTTTTTTAATTTATATATTAATATTAATTTATTGAATTTTTTTATTCAAATGTCATATGGGAAATGGGATTTTTGTTTAATATTATGCAATGAAAAATAAAATTGTTTTAAGAAAATAAAAAGTTTAAAATATTTCTAGAATTAACAGAGTTTTGTTTGAAATTAAAAATGCAGTAAAATATTAATTTTTTTTTATCTTTGCAGCTGACAATGTCCAATCAAACTGCAGATGAAACAAATATTGGTAAATATATCATTTTTAACCCCTTAAATGGTTAACCAAAGTAAATAAGCAAAAATGTAGAAGATAATATAATTTATGAATTTATGCTTAGTTAAAGAAATTTATAAAAGTAAAATATAACAACAGAAGACATTTATAAGTAAAATTTGAAATCTTATAATAGTTATATAATAGTTATCTTATATTAGTCACGGAAACACACAACAATAGCAAATAATAAAAGACAATGGCCTTAAACTAAGTGTTTAGCTAGAAGAAGAAGGGGAAGGTGAGGGCAGAAGAGAAGAAAAGGAGGAAGATGAAGAGATAAAAAGAGGAGAAAGGAAGGATTCCTCTGAGTGGTGTACATAAGGTTACCATTCCCTCTATGTTTAATGTTGACATGCAGCTTTTAGGCTGTGAGGCCGTGGGCTGAAAGAAAACCTGAGTTTTAGCTTACACCAATAAGTAGTGCAGTTACATAAAAGCTAGAGTAAAGATTAAGGCTTAAAACTAGAGTGAAGGCTTAAATCTAATACTATAATTAATACAAAACCTAAGCTAGCAACTCTCCAGGAAGCTGAATAACATAACTGAAACAATTAGGAGAAACACCTAAAATACTGATAACTCAGTTAATTTTAAGTTACTGAAGTTAGATTTATCTTAAATCTAATTTATTGCTAACTTAAAACTGGTTATACTAACTAATTACTAAACAAGAATGCTGACAAAGACAACAAGTTAGACAGATAAGAGCATGTCATGACAAAGACCTATGAAAGATGCCATTTTTATATATATATATATATAAGATGACAAAATAAAACAAAATAAAGCAATGGAATTAAGACAAAACAGCACCCAAGGGACAACAAAGAAACTAGGGACACAACACTAAAGAACTACAAAAAGTATAACTGGAAATAGAGTAAGCAAGAAATGAAACCTGTGTGTTATGTATGCCATGGGGAGAGAGATTGTAAGAGCTTTGCTGTGGGATATGAATGAAAGTGATGGTATTGGTAAATTATACGTGTCTGGATGAGTTGCTGTGGTGTGCATGGCCAGTTGTATCCTTCGATAATTGCCGCTCTCATTAAAATATTCCTAATGTTAGTGTACGGTACATATCACAGTGAAAAATTAAGTGCATTGATGTTTGTTCTTCGTACAGCCTGCAATTGAACAGAACAATAGCAGAATTGATTTTTACCTTTTAGGCTTTTCCTGGCTACAGATATGTAAAAAGAATTGCTTTGTGTTTTGAAATTATAAAAAAATCTAACACTACAAGGACTTTAAAGGAATTTCTATACATTTGTGAATAGAGGAGGAGCTTTGGTAATGTTCTAATCATGTTCATATGCTTGAAAAGGTTATGAAGATTTCAAATTTTATTTATGTTTGTCTTCAATAATTTATAAAATATTCTACATTCTGACTTTTTAATTTTTAATCCTATTTAACTAGTATTTACAAATTTCTCTAATTTATTTGAAAAATTTCCTTATTTAGAATGAAAAATGAATTATCATCTATTGCTACGTGTAGCATGTGACAAATGATATTTATTCTTTGAATTTGGCATTCTATAGTTGTAGACTACTACTTTGGGACTTGCCTGTTCTTCAATAAACACATGAATACATATCATCCTGCTCATAGTCCAAAAAGGGTGAGAAGCAGGCAAAAGGAGATACAATCCTATATATTGGGTTCTCAATCTTTTTGAAATTGAGGAACACTAAACTTCGACATTTTTTTGCTGAACATGTACAATACTTAGCTACATGTACAATACTTTATTGAACATGTACAATAGCTTTAAAGCAGGGGTGGCAAATCTTGAAATCAAGTGCACTGGGTCTAGTAGATGACAACATTGGTATTCCCATACAAAAATTATTTTACATTGTAATTGTATATTTGATTCTTTTGCAGAACACTTGAAGTGGCTTCACGGAGCACCCATATTCCATGGACCACAGATTGAGAACTATGGCTATATATCATCCATTCTGTAACTTTCTCCACATCTTCATGTTCAGACATACTCATGCTTCTTCTAGTGCACTTCCTCACATTTTCTTTCTGACTCAGATTCTTTCAAATACTCATTTACTTGTTCTAACCAAGACTTTCTCAGCCTTCCTCTACCATGCTTTCCAGCATCACATTCACCTACAACTGAATGAACTGAGAGAATGAAATGAGAACTGTCAAACATGTATATATTGTTTGACAGTTCTCATTTCATTCTCTCAACATGGTTGAACCATCATAGAGCCAATTTAACCGCACACTCTTTCACTTCACATTCCTCCAGAACCTATTTATTTCTCATGTAGTCTCTCCTAATTATGCCACACACTTCTCTCAAATATTTCATCTCGCATGCAGTAATGCAACTACCCTGACTCTTCTTCATACCCAAGTTTGGTTATCATACATGAGCATAGAAACCACAACATTCCCATACAGCCGTTCATGCCTCTTTGGACAGCTTTTTACACATTTCCTTTTTGATGGCTGACAGATTTACATGTTAAAAATAAAAATACGTAAAAGAGACTAAAATGTCTTCATTCTTGTCATGTTGAATCACCAGGAACAACAGTCTTTCATTGCTGCCTGCCTCTTTTCTTAAGCTCCAACATTGGAACTACAGCTTGGATCTCTGGCAGCAGAGATGGGATAGCTACAATGACCTAGCAAGGAACTTTTTTCCATCTATTCATGACCACCTTTTTCACCACTGGGTTAGTCTGGACTTTGAAACCACTCAATTCTTCACTGGGCATGGGAGATTCAGGGCCTACTTGCAGAGGTTTGGCAAATCTGCAACGGCATCTGTATCATCTGTAATTGCCATGATGGGGTTGAGCACCATATATACGTGTGTCCAATGACTGAGGATGCTAGGCATGAGCGTGCCCTTGCTCTTAGCCAGAGGGGTATTAATTGGCCTTGTGAACTTCATGTCCTTCTTAATGATAGTGACACCTACAAAGCATTCAAAAAATTGATTCATAAGTATCACATATGCTCCGTCATTCATTAAGTTGGTCATGTCTGTCGTCGGGCACTATCTTCATTTGCTCCCTGCACATTATTGTACATATCATTACTCGTTCTGCTGCAATATATATCTGTGTAATTACTATTATTACTATTAGTATTATCTATTTTATACTACTGTACATGTTATTCTACTCTCAAGCTGTATCATATTGGTTGATTTGTATCGGTCATCTCACCGTTTATTCATACTTCTCTATTGTCATACTGTTTGTACATTATCTCTGTTATGTATGTATTTACCTGTGCTTTGATATATCTTTGTATTTAACCCAATTATGCTCTGGTGGTATCGGGAAAAAATAAAGTTAAAGTCTTTCATTGCAGAAATGACCTTTTATTCCCTCTTTTCAGAACAGTTTCAGCATTTCTCTAATCACATGGTGCCATATTATTGTTCCAACATAAGTTGCAGAGTCAGAGCATCTGTTGTTCCACATTTTCCTTCCATATTTTAGCATATCTGCAGTCACACCATTCAGACCAAGAGATTTGCCATTTTTCATTCTTCTGTTGCATTCCTAACTTCATTCAGTTGAATAGGGACATATCTATCACTATCTTCATTTATCTCTGCAATTGTCCCAAACAGGCTCTCAAAATATTCATGCTACCTTTTACACACCTCACATTCATCCCAAAGCAGCTCACCATTTGCATATTGTACACAGGGTATACTTTTCTTTCTGTTGGCAAGTATATTCTTCATTTGCTTCCAGAACAGTACATTAAGATCCCGTTTAATGCTGGGGATGAGTTCCTAGACGACAAAACACTAAGCAAAACAGCGTTAATTAAACAAGGTCATTTTAATATAGAGTAAATAGGGATAGGTAAACACGAGACCAAAAATAAACAGATTTTACTTTAATTTTAGGTTATTTTTATATTAATTTGCATAATAATATATGTTAAATAACACAAACCTATGCACACAGAAATATAAAGTTCATTTTTTGTGATGAAGGTCTTGGCTCTTTTGAAATTTTTAAGATCGTATCCAAAATGCCTCATTTTGCTTTTGCACTCCTTTCAAAATCTGAATTGGTTGCTACGATTTGATCAACAATCTCGGTTATCATTACCAAACTTTTACTAGGGAAATCTGAAATTTTTTGGATTCTTTATTTTCAGAATCTCTATTTTCCATTTCTATATGAATTTCTTGTTCTGCCAGTTCTTGAAGGTCGTCCTTGGTAAGGCTCTCACCAGAAATCTGCAGTAACTCCTCAATATCCTGCTCGTATACATCTCCTAGTCATGCTATATCGATTAGGTTGACAGTTTGGCCAGCCTAACAATACACAATAGGCTCTTCTCTTTGAGAATTCTTGGATACCTTCAGCCTTAACTTCTTCCACACTCTGTTCATGCATTTATCAGTTAATTCTTGCCAAGCAAAATCGATATTTCCTACGGCATCCATGATGATATATTTTTTCCAAAATTGCACCAAACATACATAGATTTAAAGAAAGTACATCTTTTTGCCACCTTTTCCTGATTGGTTCATGTTTATAAATAATTGTATTATATACGAATCAATGAAATGCCACGAAAATTAAAATCAGCATAAATTTTGAGCTTTTTTAGATTTCAAGCAGACCGTGTTATATCGAATCAGTGTTAAGCAGGGTCTTACTGTATTTTGTTTTTCTCAAATGCTTTGTCTCCTTTTTATTCATTCTGTCCTTACTTTCCTTAATCACTCGGTCAGCTTCTCATTTTTTCACTCTACACTTATTCTCACTAGCATTGCCATTCAGTCTGTTCATGTATGCAGTTCTCTTTCACTGCTGGCTCAACTCTCATTCCACCAAGCAGTCCCACTCTTGTTACACCACATACCTGTTTTGCTTCTTCTACCATATGAGATTGGAACTCTTTTACATCATTATTGCCTCATCTGCATTATGAAATAAAAATGAAATAAAAAATAATAGCAAGAACTATGGATACCCTACTAGATTATCAGCAATTCATCATTACACGACAACATTAACCATAAAAAACGAAAGGATAAAACAAATACTCTAACTATGATCATCTTCTACAATCTGACTCAACCACATTTACAGAGAGATAAATAGCAAGTATAAAAGGAAGGCCAGATTACATTAAAGGAAAAATCCAATGATACACCAATTACTATGCAACAAGATAGGCAATGTCTACTTGAACTTCAGGAATATATAGGATACCTTCTTTAGTACATACCAGTTTTAATGTAAGACTTGATTATATTGGGGCAATATCATGCTCTCTCTTGGTAAGGTTACATGAACGCACAGGTTTGTTCTTTACTTCCTGTACCTGACTTTCTGTTCCAACACTTAGGGTATGTTCATAAAGTAGAACGAGTTAAACGAGAATGACGTCGTTATTCTTATTTTGTTAGACTTTTTGAACGATTTGTTTATAACTAAATGGATGTTTCTAAAATCGAAGATATGAATGTTGCTAGTGCAGCCTTATCTGAAATATTTTTCTTAGATTGCTTCATGTGGACAGTTATTTCAATAATTTCACCTTTTAATTCACAATTTAAATACTTGAGTATATTTAGAAACATCGATATTGTCAGGCGCCATTTTCTTAATGAAGTAAACTAACTCTTTCCTTCATGAACTCTGTTAGAGTTTCATTCGAAATGTCATCACCACAGAGCATGCGCACTGGATGAGACTACTACTTTTCGAATGATTTGTTACTAATGCATTTAACTCGTTTGACTTTACGAACATGCCCTTACTGTTGTGAGATAAAATACTTCACTACAGGTAAGTGTTGGAAGTAGTCTCCATTCCATTTGATACATCTTTCCCATTTTGTCAATAAACTATGGAAATCCTGTTCAAGTTCATCTCGTGTAATTGTTCATATGGCATTTTTAATATTTATTATCAGTTCTTGTTTTAAGAATTCTCTCAATGAAATCAAAGGCAATGTAGACTTATCCACAACCAGTTGGATTTGGGAGCTTTTTTGTGGACCTTAGCAAACCTGTGTGTTGTGTGTACCAGGGGGAGAGAAACTCCAAGACCCTTGCTGTGGGATATGAATGAAAGTCAGTGATAGTATATTGTGTGTGTCTGTACAGATGAGTTGCTGTGGTGTGCATAGCCAGTTGTATCCTTCCATAATTGCTACAGCCACTCTCATTAAGCTATTCCTAATGTTGGTGTACAGTATATACTAAAGTGGTGTAGAAAGACTTGAAAAGGTGGCTCTGCATTTGTCGAATACCAGCTAAGTATATTAGTGTATCACTAATATATAATTATATTATTGTGTATTAGTATATATTAGTGGTATATATTAGTGTATCACTAATAAATTTTTGGCTGGTGTTCTATGCATGCTTAGGACTACCGTTTTGACTCTATCTTTGCATTTGCTGAAGTTCTTCTTTTGTTCTGATGTTATTTTCATTTACCAATCCTTTCAGGGCAAATAAAAGCCACGTGCTCAGGTCAGTAGAATGTCATGGCTACAAGATCTTAGATTCTTTGTATTAACTAGTCAGTGTATTCAGGTATACTTTCAGTGGTATCATCTGGTAGTGTCACATACAATTCTGTTTTTTTTTCTTTTTTCTTTTCTTTTTTTTTTTTGATATATTGAATAGAACTAAATAAACCTATATTTTGTTACAGATTTTATTATGCAACACAAAAGTCTTACACCACACCATTATCAAAGTAAGCTATTCCTACAGGTTTACACTTTTATCAGCATCCATACCAAAGCACTCTTGGGAGTCATTTGTCGTAATCTTTGAGGGCTTTCTTTGCTATAGCTTTCACGTAATTCTGCTTCTGATTGGAGCATACAATCTTTTAATCTCATGCTAAGAACAGAAGAAAAATGCAGGGGACAAATCGGAGGGTAAGAAGATTGCAAAATCACTTTTATGTCCTTCTTGGTTAGGTGTTTGTGACTAGAAACACTACTGAGCAAAGTCATTTTCACAATGAACAAATATTATACATTAAAATTGTTTTTATTAGCTTTACTCTCCCTTTTCTGTGTGAAGATTCAGTTTTAAAATGTCAGAATTTTTTTTTGTAAGTAAAGTTTTTAATGAAAAACTCGTTTAAGGAAAAATTAAAATATTTTGCTGTTATTCAACAATACATTTATATTCAAATGTAATTAATTGAAAGAGATTTTTGATTACAATTAGATCATTGTCAGCTAATGCATTAATTATTTTTAATAAAACGGAGTTATTACTTCTTTTTAAATATTAATAATCACTTCAGTCCAAATACATTAATTTAGAAAATGTTTTTTAAAATATTTTGCAGATTCTGCTCAAGATGACATGCATAAATTGCTCGATTATATTCCACAGGTGGATAAAGTGTTCAATTTACATGGAAAAATTGGAGAAGGTAAATATAAATGAAATTTTCTATTATCATTACTTGAGAGATGCAGACACTAAAAATTAACTTTTTAGACTGAAATATACATATAATACCAAAGGTAATTACTGTATTTTTTGTATCTTGTGGATAATCTGTGTTTAAAAGGCATAGGGAATAGGGTACAGGTTATATGCAATTTTTAATTGCAGTTATGAACTTGTGTTTGCAGAACAATGACTGCGAGTTATACATCTGAAAATATTCAAATATGCATATATTGATATAATTTTCTGATATATGTATATAAATTGTTTTAATAATTGCAAATAATATTTTTATCAGTCATTTCCAGATTTAGAAAATATTAAATTTTGAATTTAAAAAATAAAAATAATAATATTTTAATAAACTCAAAAGTTATACAATAGCTCCTCTTATGTGTATATACATTTCCAAAAATATTTTTTGAATTAAATATCAAAAGATAATTGAGACCATAACTGTGCTGAACCTTTTAAGCTAGGTTCACATTGGCATGCAAAGATATGAACTGACAGTTTGTGTCCTTTTGGTGACTGTTCAACCAATTCATTTGAATTTGAAACTATCTTAACTTTTACCAAATTTTTGTTTGACCAATCATTTAGTGATTGTAAATGAAATATTTCCAACCAATAGCATTCTAACTCAGTCAGTGTTGTGTAGTATGGTATGAACATCATCTTGCCTTGGTTAGTGTTCATGTTGTTTAATTAAAGAGGTTCATATGACAAAGTAATTTTAGCTTTACTGATGTAATTGATAAACATGGTTTTCCAGAATATTTTGATTCATATTGCATGGTGGCTTTTCTGAAATAGAAATTCTGTTCTAAGAGTTTTTTTTTTAAACTAGTGATTATGAATGATCACTGGTGGGAAAACTTTGTCCTAGAATATTTCCTGTGATAAAGAATAAACTATATCTTTGGATAGTTTTATAATGATAATGACAATTAAAATGAAGGAAACATTTTTTTGAAATAAAGTTTGAATGAAATTTTAACTTCTGATAAGATTTACTTATTCAAACTATAGTCAAACCTTGGTTTTTGAACATAATTTGTTCCTAAAAGTTGTTATAAAACCAATTTATTTAAAACTGAAACAAGTTTTTTCATAAGTTTGTTCCTGACCCCCAAAATAAAGCCTTTTTTACTATTTTAGCTGTAATGTAGTAATATATCATATATAATATTACATTGCATTTGTAGGCATTTTTATACATGAAATATTATCTATACTAATATTATAAAGAGGTAATGTTTGTATGTATGTATGTAAAAGTTTCTTTGCAGCAGGTAATCTCCGAAACTACTCATCCGATTTCAAAAATTCTTTCACCAATATTTAGAATGAAACCTCAGGGTGGACATAGGCTGTATATTATTCCGTTAAACATTCATATAAATTAAAAGATATAATCTAGGTTAAGGCTTTTATGTCCAACAGATGGCGCTACGAGTACGACGCCGTAAGTTTGCTTTTCTGTGAGGCATTACGCTTTTCTGTGAAAATGAACTAAAGCGGACCATCTTCTATCTATCTATATAAATAAAAATGTAATTTTCGTTTGTTCCTACCGATTCCTTTGGAATTTTGACAACGCTGCATTCGAATACGCACGTGTTTTTATATAATATACGTGTCGAAATTCCTCCCACTGAAGGGAGATGGTTAGGATTAAGGCTTACTGTAAAGAACTCTGCTTCTATTTATACTATTTTAGATGCGGTTTTTTGCGTTTTTGATTGCGTTTTAATAGGGTACGTCAACAGAATGTACACTAAGAAGGAATTTTTCGATATTCCCCCGCGGGGGAGAGGGACAGAATTCAGGCTTACCGTGAAGAACTTGGCTTCTATTATATTATTTTAGATGCGGGTTTTTGCATTTTTGATTGCGTTTTAATAAAGTACGTCAAGAGAATGTACACTAAGAAGAAATTTTTCGAAAAATTTTCCCCCACGGGGGAAGTGTTATACATTTATAATAGATACATTTTGAGCCACAACAACGTGTGGCGGGGTCTGCTAGTATATAATATAATAATATTACATTGAAGGTACAGTACCTACAGTACCCTTTAAACACAAATTCTTAAATGCCATTTATATCACATGAATGTCAAATAATGCTGTTTTTATTAATTAATTTGATTTAAATTCAGCTGCAGTGTGTACCAAAAATGGAAGTAGTATCTTTTCTGCTTGTGCATTGAAATCTAATTTAAATAGCAACATCGTCAATGATTTATGTTGTGACATCTAATTACACCACTAACTTCTGAATCAGTAGTCCTGTCATTGATTGGCTGGGGTGTTGACTTTCTTTAACCTATCCCATATTGAAATTTTTCTCCATTGTGTGTGGCTGCCATGTTGAATTTTTGCTTAAGCTTAATGAAAAATTATTTTTTTTATTTTGCACAAACAAAATAAATATATTGAAAATTATAAAAACAAAAGAAATTATATTTCAGAAGTTCGTTTTAATATAAAAATTATGACGCATAGCAACATCTAGTATAAAAAATGTTCCGATGCAGAAATTAATATGTTTGGGGTCGACAAGTTAGGTCAAATACGGTCAATGTGAAAATACTTGGGAACAACACGGGACAGGTTAATATAGGAAGTATCGGGGGTTGACAATTTGTGTGTCTAATCTGTATTTGGCTATTGCCTAGTAGTGTGTTTGACAAACAAGTTGCATATGACAACAGGAGGAAATATGAGTTCAAAATTCTGTTTGTGAACTGATTTGTTTGCGAAGTGAGTTGTTTGAAACCAAGGTTTGACTGTATTTAAATTTCACTTTGTGTAGTATTAATATATTTTTACTCATAATTATTCAGGTACTTTTAGTAAAGTTTATAGAGCAACTGTTAAATCTGATGATTCAAATGTTTCCAAACAAGAATATGCATTAAAGTATTTAGTTCCAACAAGTCATCCTTCTAGAATTGCAAATGAATTATATTGTTTGAAAGAATTGGGGTGAGTTCTAGTTCAAACAGATCTATTCTTTCATTAAAAATGATTTATATTTATTTTTTAATGTATATGTTCATATAGTGGAACCTGCAATATTATTAATGTTGAAACTTGTCTAATGGAAAAAGGCCATGTAGTAATAGTTATGCCAAATTTTTATCATGATAAATTTCAGGTAAGATTGTATATTAAGATAAACTTTTCATCACAATCAATCAATTTTTATATATTATAAAATTTAAGTTTTAAAATAACAGACTGCTGAATTATTTATCGGGCCATTACAAGGCTAATTTAGTGATTAGATACAAAACAATTTGGTTACAGGTAGATGTTTAGACTGCCATCTAAAGATAAATCTATATATATGAGGATGTTTGTTTGCTTTGCACTCTATGCCATTTGATCTATTTCTACGAAACTTGACAGTTACATTAACCACTTGACAGTGAGGGACGGTATATATGGACCATTTATTTTGAAAGTGGTGTAAGTCCATTTTTGGAAAAAAATTGAAAAAACACATAATATACATACAATTTAGTGTGAACTTTTTATTTATAAACAATTCACACTTAACATTTTAAAATAACCATAAGCTTTGATCAATTGAAAATTTATCAGTAAATGACATTGCATAACCATTGATTTTGAAAGTGTGTAAGTCCATTTTCTACACTTGGACTGTCCATAAATTACATGTGCATTTTTCTTGAAATTTTTACTTTGTCTCAGTTTGTCCAAGTTTTTGTAACCCTTTTCCTTCTATGGATGTCCAACATAACTCTATCCCTGTTAAAACCTTCATTACTTTATGAATGATAGATACCATAAGTAGAATTGAAACATACAAGAAACTTTGAAATAAATATAATAAAATGCATACTGTATAAAATTTAATGAAATAAATGGATGTCTACTAATACTCATCCTCTTGTCTGACTTGTCTTAACCCCCTCCCTTTTCAGTGTGGACATCATTTAAAGATAGCCCCTTACAACAGAGGAGTAAAACTATAAATATTACTAACAAATGTACAATTTGATGGAATGGAAAAAAATCCATGTAATGAATCTAAATGAAAAGCAATGTCTAACGGTAAGCTCATAATAATGATAAACTTATCATAAAATAGTTTAACAATAAGTAAATATTTTAATGTTCAGAATAAACAATACTATTTTATTTCTTGTTATTATATATGAACAAAATCAGAATAAAACACAATGTGTTTCAAGTGAAATTGAGTTTTACGTAATAGAAATTTAATGAATTTTACAGTTCAATGATTATGAAAGTGGTGTAAGTCCATTTATGGCCCAGAAAGAATATATTAGTTTAGTTAAATTCACATAGAAGTCTTTATGCAATCAACTTACATATTTCTAATGTCATAAAAACATTGTCAAACTTAGTACACTTTATTTATATTTTTGAATCAACTAAAATGAAAATGTTTAAATATCTTGAAAAAAGAAAAAAATGGACTTGCACCACTTTCAAAATAAACGGCCATATATATTCGTCCAGGGTGATCGTGTGGCAGTGGTGAGGGGCAGATATATCTGTTAAATTCTTTTGGGGGTATTGCCAAAAACTACCAGGGAAAAAAAATTCACATAAAAAATGAATTTTGTAACAATAAAAAAAGTCTTTTCTTTACTAGACATAACTATTTACAAAATCTTTTCCTGAAACGGTAATGAGAAAAAAGCATGGAAAAATACTTTAAAAATTTTCCACATTTATTCTCCACTACTTTGGGATAGCACCATAACTGACTATCCCACTGTTGAAAGGTTAACATACTTCTAACTTATGATGGGACAGTATAATGTTTGGATCACCGAATTTGATCAAACTTGTTGAGATTGCATTCCCAATGATTGACATATGCCAAGCAGTAAGGCATAATACTCAAAATTAAATGAGAAAATTGAAGTTAAAAATTGCAAATCATTTAAAACCTTTAGAATTCCCACCATTTGCAGAATGGCTGGTGGCTCAGTGGGGATGTGCTGGTTTTGTAACCATGATGTTGGTGTTTCAAACCTTTGATGGTATTAATGTAAAACTATAATTTTCACTTTATTCTTGGTATTTTTACAAAACTACAAATATATTTTTACTGATTTATATTTAGAAATGCATAATAAACAGTGTAATAAAACAATAAAATCCATCCCTTTTAAGTAACAAGTCAATGTCAAAAGCAATTAACAAATGATATCTAAAAATATTTATTTAAAAACAAAACATTTTCTGTGTATTCATGTACAGTTCATACTTTGGGAACAAAGTCATTGCTTAACCTAAATATGTGTATAATTGCATCTTTGGCTGCTAAAGAATGAAAAGATGGCTTTGATATTTCGTGTTAACGTCAATAGCATAAAAATATGTTCTGCAGAAGAATTACTGCATCACAATATTACAAAATTTATGTATTGTGAAGCATTCTTCCAAATCAAGACCTAATTGCATCCAAAGGTTTTCATCAATTTCAGAAGTTGCAAAGGTGGTAGAAAAAAAAAATTAAGCACTCTGATATTTTTCAATGTGCTATGGTAGGAGTGATTCTCCTCCAAATTAATTGATAATGGAGAAGTATTTTTAAAAATTAATCAAGTTTGTTTTCCAGTGACATATATAAATCTTATTATAAAAATCTGAATTTAGCTTTGTAATATCCTGATAAATAATTTGGCATCACTAATTAATTGAATTGGGTTGATGTATATTCTATTATATAGACATACTGTATTTTATGAAATAAAAATAAAATAATTTTTTTTATTTTAAATTATTGTATTAAATTATATAAAAACAATGCCAATACTTCTTATTAATACATGAATCTTCATGTATCTGACTACCTAGAATTATATCCTAAAATCTTATATATGAATATTTGATTCAAATGCATGGTAAAACTTCAATAATTGGACTAGAAAATACTGGCCAATTAGGTAGAGAAATCACTTAACTACATGCAAAATATTTTCTACATAGATACAGTACACTGTTTTTCTTCAGATACATAATTATAATTATCTATTAAAATAATATTTATATTATATAATAAAATAAATCTACATTTTTAATTCTGATTTATATACTTTTAATATTCTGATTCTGAACACATGATGGCATGGAAAAAAGCTCTTAGTGCCTGCACGGCATAAACAGTTCGAAAAATACTGAGAACATTAGAATCCTTAGCTTGCAGTCTTCTACTTTTGTGAAAATCATACTATCTCATTTTTAAAAAATCAGCATAAAAAAAATATTGATTGATCTAAAGTTTTGTCAGTTAACTAGAGTTATGATTGGATCTAATGATGAATTGATGAGGATTTAATTATATTAATCTTTATTATTACATGTGACCAGTTATCCAGATGACTAGTTATTGGAGTTTAACCATTCTAACTTTTCTAATTTGCAACTGTTTTCATGTTTGACAATATCAATCTTTATACTTGAAAATCACTGCACTGTAACATATAATCAGTTTTTAAAGAATGACATGAATAAACACCATATTTGTATGAATTCAAGATTATAGTTTGTTCAGCATATGCTTTAACTACATATGTTATCTAAGATGGAAATGGATAGAAGGGTTAGACTAGGACATATTCTCAAAATGAAGTTGGATATTTTGGTTATATTGAATAATGAGAACGAATATATTATATATTTTTACAGCAATAGTCACACACACATTGTTTAGGGTCTGTTCAGAAATGCTTACCAGTTCAACTGCTGACACAGGATGATATTCAGAAATGTTATTTGTAAAGATTCCAACAATTTATTGGTTGTTACCAGACTTGCCGATCTTTGAAGGTGGTTTAGAGAGTGGTCAAACAAATACTGATGACATCATTCACTATCAACCAACTGACTGAAAAGTTATTTCTGAACAGTTGATAGGTTTTCTCGGTTTAATAACTGTATATTGTTCAATAACAATTTCAATGATATTCTGTGTTTATGAATAATTTTTCATATGTTATATACCCATAACAGGATTATGTTAAATTGATGAATGTTGATGAAATGAGGGATTATATGAAGAATTTATTTATTGCCTTGGAGAAAGTTCATTCTCATAACATCATTCATCGAGACATAAAACCTAGCAACTTTCTTTACAATCGTGAAGAGAAAAAGTAAGCTTTAATTTGTTTTGTTTATTAAAAATTTTTAAAATAATATATAACACATATAACATACCACTTGATTAAAGTTAATTGTTAGTATCAACAGTTTACATATATGGTTAATATAGGCTACATTAAATCAGGGCTGTTCAATAGTAAAGTTACAGGTATTGATTACACATGATCTATGTGCACAGTCTTGATGTTTTGGGCATGTATGGTTATGTAGTGGAGAGTAATAGTACAGATGTAATCAAAAATTATTCCAAGTTTAAGGTCTGCACACTTATCAGAATTTTACAAGCAGAAGGAGTTTTATTTTATTTATTAAAATTTTATTGCCTGTTAAATAAGATGTAATGTACATAATTTTTTTTATTAAATTTAAAACCACCTTACAATTTATAAATGGAATAAAATAAATTCTAAAACTTATCTTTTATGAATATAAAAATTGAAACCGGTGTTCTAAAAAGAAAGAATATATGAGGGGTTGATTGATAAATAAGGTCCACAACCAAAGTGTTTCAAGTATGGGGATAGAAACATATGATCATCACTATCTAGTTGTTTGTGCAAAGTCTCTGTTCATTGTACTGCATTGTGAGTAACAATCGAGTTTAAATATGAGCTTGTCTTCCTCAGTGATTGGTAGGCTGTGTAAAAAGGAAGAAACAATCTGTTTGGTAAAGTATTGTGAAACCTTCTAAGCACTTAAGACATATTCACAGAGCTAGGCTATAATCATCTTTTTCTTGCATTGTGATAATGCAAAGACCCTACTGCAGCATGGAAACAACAAAGAAGCTTAAGAACGTCTGATTGTTTTAAAAATTAAATGGGACATTAAAGGTTATTTTTCATTACATGCCAAAGTTTGAGCTGTATATGGGAATTGATTGAGGAAAATTTAAAGTTTTTCATTGCATAAAATGCAAAATAGATTGAAAATTTGGAAAAATATGTCTCACTAAATGATGATTATGTCAAAAAAATAAATATATATGATTAAAATAAATGATTTTTATTACTGTTTAACTACTGTTTAAAACTGCTCCCATAAAGCTTAAATGATTGATTTAATTCTTTTTATTTTGGAAAATACAAAATAACAATCTTATTTTAAGGCAATTATTATATATTTTTAAATCTTTACAAAGTTTGTGTATTAAATTATAGACTGAAAAATCTCTATTAATTGCTTGATGATGATACTTTATTTTCAGATATGTTTTAGTAGATTTTGGTCTGGCTCAACGTTTGAGTTCTTCAAGATCAAAAGAAAATTGTGTCGAAGAGGTCATAAAGAAAAAAAGGAAAAGAACAGAAAATCAAGAAAATGAAAATTTGGTATATTTGATTTTTAATTTGAGAAAAACCTTTTCAAATACATAAAATTATTAGCACTTTTTAAAGATTTAAGTGTTTTTTTTTTTTTTTTGCAGAAAATGAAATCGCCGAGTAAAAAACGTCAAGTAATGCATGATGTCAGCAATACATTCCTTCCTCTGTCACAAGTAATGCAAGAGGTCGGCAATAATCAACTTTCTCAGTTGTGTTCACTTCAGGATACAAAAAAGTTTCAAACTCATCCAAAATTAAACAGAACATTATTTGTTCATAGCTTTGACAGTAAAACTACTAAAATGAATTGTAGTAAAACAAATGATATGGTAAAAAATAGATGTTCTTGTTATGGAAAACAGGAAGTGTGCAAAATCTGTTTAAATAGGTATGTAATTGCCTGGGCTACTGGGGTATCATTTTCACTTTCTTGTCTGAGTTTTTTAAAAATAATTACCCACTTTACATTTTTGTGACTGTGGTGTCAAAATGCTCAGTATAGCCATGTCCTTTATTGTAAAATATAATCCACTCTGAGAAAAGATATATTCAAAAAACAAGTGTGTCGACTTTCTCCACTTTGACATTTTTGGGTGCTGTTTTTTGGAATATAAAAGCACACAGATGCTTGATATTTTCCCAGGGTTTGGTGAATTTTTGTTGAACTACAGAAAAGTTATATGAATTCTAAGAAAAAAGGAATGTCCCTCATTCCCACTAGATGGCACCATGTTACCTAGCTCTAATAACTGGAATACATAATTTAAATGCTTAAATGGGACAGTAGCAGAAAAGAAATTTAGCAATTTTTGGTATATTTTAGGGATCTTCTGAAAATATGTCAACTCTACATACACTAATTCAGTGATCTCCAAACTTTTTTGATCACTTAGCTCTAAGACAAAAATAATTATAAGTTGTACCTCCTATAATATAATATGCAGGTATTACATTATATTAGGGAAACTTGGTGTAACCCCAGGTATCACTTTGCGTACCCCACAACACTAATGTCGTGTAGACCTAACTAATGGTTGGCGGAGACAAAGCAATTTTGTCATTTGCTTGGGTGATTTGGTTTTTCTGCAGTGGGTCAGCTTAGTGGGACATAGTGGTATCACACCGGGATCACGTCTGAGGAGGACCTGAATACAAGCTACTAACCCTGCTCTGGATTAAACTGGCTCAACTCCTTCCTCTTGTCCCATTGGAAATTTTCAACTTTTATGTAACTATTTCAAATACAAGTTTTTTAGTTGTGTCAAGCAACTCGCCGATAGTATGTTTCTGACGCAGTTTTCTCAGTGGAGACTGGACAAAATCACAAACGTGGCTGCTTTTAACAAGCAACTTCAATTTATCCAAGACTTCCCGCTTAAATGCCAACTGATTTTATTATTCCTTTATTTCTTAGTTTTTCATTTACTTCGATTTAATTTCTTTATTACACTTCTCTTTTTTATCTGTAGTTTTCATTATATTTTTTTCTTTTCTCAACAATAAATCACTTATCTTTCATTTGTGGCATATCAGTGCTCAAACTGCTTGGTTAGGCTAACTACATCGATAAACATTGTCTCGAGTTTCTCAATGCCATATATCTAGTATATATTAAAATAGTCTATAATAATCAAAGATTATTGAAAGGAACAAACTTTTTATGTTGAGTTGGTCTGATAGTCACACAGCAAGGATAACTTTGTTCTTTCATTTGGGCCAACACTACAAGGAATCCAGATTTGACCTGACTCAGATTTTCATTGTACGAGATTATGATTCTTACAGTATGAGTTCTCATCTCTCATCCATGCTGACTGACTGACTACTGATTAGAGCTATTCATAATGAGTGCAATTTTATCTAGCCATGTAAATGTTATACTAGTACTTTATATTAACTAATCAACCATTCAGAAAATTAGTTAACTCTCTTTTGACAGACTAATGGCTTTTTTCATTTTATCTCAGAATTATTAATGGTAAATACATATAAAAATAATCAAATCCTATGTTAATCAAATGATAAATTTAGATTCTTATTAGGCTATAATAGCTAATTTGAGCTAGAAATTAAATTTTAACACAGTTGGCAGCTTAACGGCTTATCTCTAGTCCAAATTACTTGGTACCTTAATTATTAATTAGCCATATTATAGCCAGATAAGAATCTGACTAATTATTTATTGTAATCAAATGATACAAACTATTAGTTTGATGATATATTATCTGAAGCATCATGTTGATACATTATTACTTAATGAAGAGCTCTCTACTAAATTCTCTGTCCAATTTTATTTCTTCATGATACAATAGTTTCCTGTCATTTAGTACTGATGTCTTCCAAGCTGAAAAAATAACTCATATGCTAAGTTTTAGTATAATTAATTAAAAGAAAATTGAATTAAACTGTATAATTTGTTCTGTTTTTAATTGGGTGTTGCAATTACTGATAATTTCTTTAATTAAATGCAATTTACAAGAAGTTGTGTTATTTTTTTGATTCTTAAAATGCAATTGTCATGTTTTATTGCATTTAAATTTATGCGATAACTTTTTCTTTTATTAAATGTTAACTCTTTTTAAAATTAGACCTCCAGAAATTGCACCACGTGCTGGGACTCCAGGATTTAGAGCACCAGAAGTCCTTTTGAAGTATCAAAGTCAGACAACAGGTAAATTCTATAATTTTGAAGAATTTTTAAAAACAAAATTAGTTTGTCTTCCACAAACATATTGCTTTCAGTGGATATTATATCTAAAAAGTATTATAAGTTGATTAAATGTACTCAATTAAATAATGGTCCTTTTAACAGCAGTGTCATAAATTTTTACTTGACATAATTCTTTTACATCTCATACTGTAATCCAAACAAAAACATCTATGTAAATAATCTTCAATATAAAAATTTTTTGTGAAAGATTGAATACATTTTGAATTTTAAAGATTATAGTAGGTGAGTATAAAGTTTTGCAGGCGATGTGAACAAAACTCACAAATATAATCAATTAAATAATAGAACATTGAAATTGTTAATAATCTGTCTGCTTTTCTCTGACAGTTTTAAGAATTTCATTGTAGCAAAATTTTTCTGGTATTGAATGAAATAGTTTCACACCTTTGTTTGAGTGTCATTGGAGCTTTTAATTAATTTTGTATTGATTGGAAGAATGAAAATTTGAAGAGAAGTTTGGAAAATAAAATAATGTTGCAAGATTTTTCTCTGAAATTCTTGCACTTTTTATTTGATTGCAATCTCCATGCAAGCACAGGTTAGCATTGTAAATGATGAAAGATTACCTTCCAATGAATTAAATTTAAACTTCACTATCAAAAATGGGGAGGACTGAAGGAAGCTCTCTCTTCAAAGCAATTAATGTTAAATGTTTGGTAGATTGGTAGAACCTCATGATTAATCTGTTTTAATGACATGTATGATGAAATTCAGAACTGGTTTTTGATGAATTTACACATGTAGTTTATTTATTTATTTTGCAAAATAACCTTTGTGATGTTTACTGTTGTCATATACAATTCACTTTTCATCACCAATGATTAGTCTCTATAGGAAAAGGTTCATTTTCATATCTATCAAGAAGTAAAAAAATGAAAGATGCTGGTTTTATACACTTCTATTATGTGATTTCTTCTGTAATTTGACAGATTTATTTTCATAAAAGCGCACAATTCTATCCAAAATGATATCTGCAACAAAAATGTGCCTCAGATCTCCCAGATATTTGTATAATTAAGTGCTGTTTTTATGTTTCAGTATAAAAATGTATTATAACAGTTAAATATATAAGAAATAGAATATGTTTAAATAGTAGCACGGTCTTGTGTTAGAATATTTATTTACATGCGATTCTCAATTTCTTTATTTTACAGCCGTTGACATGTGGGCAGCTGGTGTGATATTCTTGTCGTTACTAACAAAGAAGTATCCTTTCTTCAGAGCTTCTGACGATTTAAGTTCCTTAGCTGAAATAACTTGCATTGTAGGAAGTAAGAGACTGCAACAAGCTGCACTAAGTATTGGTGAGTGACATATAAAATTCAAATTTGCCGGTTCATTTAAATTCATAATTTAACAGTTAATTTTTCGATACTTCAGGCAAGAGAGTGTTTTTGAGTATTCAAAAACCAAAAGTAGATTTTAAATTATTGTGTCAGAGGATCCAAAGCATACAAAGAAACAGCGAAAATGTGCCAAATGAACCGGAAAATACAATACCTGAATCTGCCTATAATTTACTAGGAAGACTTTTGGATCCAAATCCACTCACTCGTATAACTGCGCAACAGGCTTGCGCCCATCAGTTTATAACTACAACAAATTAAATTGTATTTAAAAAATATTTATAAATATGTATATAAAGTAAATAAAATAAAATTTATTTTACTTGAATCAAATTCTCCTCTGTTTATTCAGAAATATTACTCCTACCAAAAACTATTATTTGTGAATACATATAGTGAGCTTTATTCAATAATTAGTTACATAAATGCTTTTCATTCCTAACAAAATTCTGAAAGATCACATAAAGCTGAAAATAAATTTATGCAATAATATTTTATGCATTTTGCTACTTTTATTTAGCTTACATAATACTATTTTTATGATATAACTTCATTACATAATATAATACAATACTTTCACTTCAGACTAAACAAAACGTAACAAAGAGGGTAAAACCTCTGTTACACAATTCCATGTTATGAATATGAGAGCTTTTTTTATTAATTTGTGGCTAGAATTAATCTTTATTCTTAAGTAAATTAGTCTAATTATCAAGCCAAAAGCAAAGTAAAAATTAAATTAGCTTTATAGAAACATAAGTTTTACTTTTCACACTGATATGTACAGATATTTAAAATGCTGTTTCTTTTATGTGTTTCTGTTTAAATTTGTTATCAAAAGACAATATTTAATTATTATTAACAATTACACTTAAAATTATGGAGAGAACCGTGTATAAACTGCAAAACTAAACGATTGTTACATGCAAACCATATTTAATGAGAATTGCTACAGGAATAATGGAAATTATGAATGATTGAATGTACGTCCTTAGAATTGTGGATGATGATTACTCTGATTATACATACAACATATTAAAAATTCAAGAATAGGCTATATCCAGCAATGATAATTTTTATTATTTACATATGCAGGGTGTCTTGTAATTCTTGACTCACATTTTGATTGACTATAACTTTCTGATGAAACAAGATAATTTATACTGTTAAAAAAACCTACTTTCCATTCTCCACTGCAAAGTCAAATTGAGTACTGCCAAGATCAGTACGAGCCTGTAAACAAAGCGAAACATCTTTGTGCCTTTTGGAAGAGATATGATAATTCAATGCAATTAGTGTCAATCTCACAATTTATATTCTACAGCCTTAAATCCCCTTGTGAAAAAAGTCCAGTGGAGTCGAGACTGCCAGTTTTGCCCAACGATACCTCCAGAATGTTTTTGGTTACAAAAACAAGCAAACACATTGCACTTATGTTGTAAAGTAAACAGTGACACTGACAGTGTTCATAAGCTGGATGACATATAGAAAATAAAAGTGACACACTGTCTTGTTTCACAAAAAATCAGTCAAAATGTGAGTCATGAATAGGTATTCCCAATACAAAAGTATTGATACTTTAAAATCACTCGTGATACTGGTATCGGTCTTAAAGTATCAATACCAGCCAGTATCAACATCAGGTATTGAAATTGGAAATCTTGCTGGCTGTCACGTCGCCTTACAGTTGTTTTTCCTGCAGAGAAGGAACATCTATCCCTATCCTCCTTTTTCTGTGGTGGATATGTTCTGAAGAACATGTAAAAATAATGCATAAAAATGTATAGTACATGCATCCCATAGAAAAATGCTTGTTAGGATTCACAACTTCAATGGAATAAAAACAATATGCAATTTAAGAATAAAAAAGTTTGTTTTTTTTTTTTAATCGTCATTTATCATTAACATTATTTGTATGTAAATATAGGAAACACAAAATCAACATACAGCACTGTCTGATATACAGTACATATATTAATAGTACTGTACTGTGCTTACAAAAGAATAAAGATTTTTTTAAATACTGAAGGTCACAAAAAAAAATACAAAATAAATTAATTCATCAGATTTATTTCCTTAAAATGACCAAAAAAGATTTTTTCCTTACATGTGATAATTAACATTTCAAATCTCTGATGAAAGATGTTATAAATCATTCAAAAATATCAGTCTGNAGAATGTACACTAAGAAGAAATTTTTCGAAAAATTTTCCCCCATGGGGGAAGTGTTATACATTTATAATAGATACATTTTGAGCCACAACAACGTGTGGCGGGGTCTGCTAGTATATAATATAATAATATTACATTGAAGGTACAGTACCTACAGTACCCTTTAAACACAAATTCTTAAATGCCATTTATATCACATGAATGTCAAATAATGCTGTTTTTATTAATTAATTTGATTTAAATTCAGCTGCAGTGTGTACCAAAAATGGAAGTAGTATCTTTTCTGCTTGTGCATTGAAATCTAATTTAAATAGCAACATCGTCAATGATTTATGTTGTGACATCTAATTACACCACTAACTTCTGAATCAGTAGTCCTGTCATTGATTGGCTGGGGTGTTGACTTTCTTTAACCTATCCCATATTGAAATTTTTCTCCATTGTGTGTGGCTGCCATGTTGAATTTTTGCTTAAGCTTAATGAAAAATTATTTTTTTTATTTTGCACAAACAAAATAAATATATTGAAAATTATAAAAACAAAAGAAATTATATTTCAGAAGTTCGTTTTAATATAAAAATTATGACGCATAGCAACATCTAGTATCAAAAATGTTCCGATGCAGAAATTAATATGTTTGGGGTCGACAAGTTAGGTCAAATACGGTCAATGTGAAAATACTTGGGAACAACACGGGACAGGTTAATATAGGAAGTATCGGGGGTTGACAATTTGTGTGTCTAATCTGTATTTGGCTATTGCCTAGTAGTGTGTTTGACAAACAAGTTGCATATGACAACAGGAGGAAATATGAGTTCAAAATTCTGTTTGTGAACTGATTTGTTTGCGAAGTGAGTTGTTTGAAACCAAGGTTTGACTGTATTTAAATTTCACTTTGTGTAGTATTAATATATTTTTACTCATAATTATTCAGGTACTTTTAGTAAAGTTTATAGAGCAACTGTTAAATCTGATGATTCAAATGTTTCCAAACAAGAATATGCATTAAAGTATTTAGTTCCAACAAGTCATCCTTCTAGAATTGCAAATGAATTATATTGTTTGAAAGAATTGGGGTGAGTTCTAGTTCAAACAGATCTATTCTTTCATTAAAAATGATTTATATTTATTTTTTAATGTATATGTTCATATAGTGGAACCTGCAATATTATTAATGTTGAAACTTGTCTAATGGAAAAAGGCCATGTAGTAATAGTTATGCCAAATTTTTATCATGATAAATTTCAGGTAAGATTGTATATTAAGATAAACTTTTCATCACAATCAATCAATTTTTATATATTATAAAATTTAAGTTTTAAAATAACAGACTGCTGAATTATTTATCGGGCCATTACAAGGCTAATTTAGTGATTAGATACAAAACAATTTGGTTACAGGTAGATGTTTAGACTGCCATCTAAAGATAAATCTATATATATGAGGATGTTTGTTTGCTTTGCACTCTATGCCATTTGATCTATTTCTACGAAACTTGACAGTTACATTAACCACTTGACAGTGAGGGACGGTATATATGGACCATTTATTTTGAAAGTGGTGTAAGTCCATTTTTGGAAAAAAATTGAAAAAACACATAATATACATACAATTTAGTGTGAACTTTTTATTTATAAACAATTCACACTTAACATTTTAAAATAACCATAAGCTTTGATCAATTGAAAATTTATCAGTAAATGACATTGCATAACCATTGATTTTGAAAGTGTGTAAGTCCATTTTCTACACTTGGACTGTCCATAAATTACATGTGCATTTTTCTTGAAATTTTTACTTTGTCTCAGTTTGTCCAAGTTTTTGTAACCCTTTTCCTTCTATGGATGTCCAACATAACTCTATCCCTGTTAAAACCTTCATTACTTTATGAATGATAGATACCATAAGTAGAATTGAAACATACAAGAAACTTTGAAATAAATATAATAAAATGCATACTGTATAAAATTTAATGAAATAAATGGATGTCTACTAATACTCATCCTCTTGTCTGACTTGTCTTAACCCCCTCCCTTTTCAGTGTGGACATCATTTAAAGATAGCCCCTTACAACAGAGGAGTAAAACTATAAATATTACTAACAAATGTACAATTTGATGGAATGGAAAAAAATCCATGTAATGAATCTAAATGAAAAGCAATGTCTAACGGTAAGCTCATAATAATGATAAACTTATCATAAAATAGTTTAACAATAAATAAATATTTTAATGTTCAGAATAAACAATACTATTTTATTTCTTGTTATTATATATGAACAAAATCAGAATAAAAC